TGGTTTAAAACAACATAAATCCATTCTTATGGTTCTACAGATCAGAAGTTTCATAGTGACCTCACTGAGCTAACATCAAGGTGCCAGTGAAGCTGCCCTCATTTTGGGAGGGCTTAAAGGAAGGCTATCTGTTCCTTGCCTTTCATAAACTACCCACATTTCCTTGTTTCACAGCCCTTTTGTCCTTCATAGCCAGCAAAAGTCACCAAGTCATTCTTATAACATGCCTGTGGTGTTTCCCTTCTCACTTTTAAGGATCCTATAATTATATTGGGCCCACTCAAATAATTTAAGATGCTCTTCCCTTCTCAAGGGCCTTCACTAATCACATTTTAGCTTCATCACTTCTATAAAGTCCACTACAGTGTAACATGACATTCACAGCTGAACTAGACATTAACATCTTTTAGGTGTCCATTCTAAAACCCACCACAGGTGTCCTTGTCTTCAAAAGAATACGAGCATACGATTTGTAAATTATGGGGTTTAGGGAAGAGGTATAACATCGCAGTAATGGTTTAAATGGAAAATATGGAACTTGTAATTACATTTTAAAAAATCCTCCTGTTAGATTTTTATTGCTTTTACATTTTATTTTTAGGATGAACTCTAATTTGATATGCTGGAATAAAATGGAATGTCATTCAAACCATGACAGACAACAGAATTACCCCAATGAATCTGTCAATTTGTTGTTATTGTTGTTGTCTTCTTATACTGTTCTGTACAGCACTTAGGAACTATCACACTGCACAGCAGTTGCAGCCTACATAACAGGACATTAGTTCAAACTGGAGTAGCAGTAGCTTGGAGAAGTAACTCCATCATACCAACTATGAGTTTCTACAAACTTTAAGCCAAAATATCCAAACAATCATTATACATACATCAATGGTTAAGAAATCAAAATCCTCCCTTGATACATCAAAAAATAAATACTACTATTTAAGAGTTAAGCCCCAACTGCTGTTTTAATTTTTTTAGTTTAGCTTGATATCTTTTTTGACTCCAAGACAGAATAGTGATGTTTGATGTACTCAAGTCATAACCAGCATGTACCAATTCTTTGATTCGACTTTTTAAGGTATTTATGCTTGAATCTAGAACTCGAGGATTTTCAATTATTTGTGAAATACCAATTTTTTCTGTTATGAGGCAATCTATTTTATCATTAAACTTTTTCTCTGCCAAGAAGATCATATCTGGATAGCTTAAGACAAACTTCTGTACCTCCTCTTCAGTACATTCCAAGGAAAACAGCTTCTCTTTGATATTTTTGTAGTTTCTTTTTACATAATCATTGGAAAGGTCTAAGATTCCAGCTCCTGAACCACATATCAGAACTAGTAGTTCTTCCTTGTTCAATGTGAAAGTTGATTGTAAAAATTCAATATTAGCTTTCACTCGTTTGGTGCTCTGAATTAAGATGAAAGGGTTTTTGAAAATTATCTTTCTCACAAAATCTGAGGGGTCATTATAACCCAAAGACAAACATACTTCATGTAAAAATTCAACCATCTGCTTATTCAAATCAAAACTATTAGAGAAGGTACGAGGGGCATTGGTCAATAATCGACAGAGGCATTTACTGGTCAATCCAACTGAACAAAGGTAGCTTATATTTTTCTCTAAGTCTTCATTGTTCCTTGACCGAAAAAAGGATTCAGGAGAACGTTCCAGAATATTTACAATTTCAAGATCTGATGTGATAATCTTTCTCCACAGATCCCACCGTTTTGAAAGACTTTCAGTAGTACGTGTTATGGCTCGTGGATATCTTGATATGATACTAGCAATCACTTCTTTGCTAGCTCCTTTGGAGAGAAGGAACATCTGCAAGTCCTGTTCATTAGTAACCATCCTATTAAACACTCCAGGCTGTCTTTTCCTAGCCATGTCAATATCAACTCCCATGATAAGTAAGTTATTCAGCAGGTCTTCATTCTCTGAAGGTTCACTGTCTATATTATTACATTTCACACCAAAAGGCCTAAATGAAATGGATTTGAGGAGAATTTCTGTTGAACATTGCATTATCCAGTATCTTGACCCAAAAAGAAAGTTACTTCTCATGTGCCAGAGGTTTCTTGATGCCATAATGGTCAGGTAGCCCAGATCTTTCAGACTGCTTACACAGACTTCTATTACTCAATTTATCCTATGGTCTCCTTCATTATAATGCAGTGATTCCAAAGAAATTTTCATCTTCAAAAAGATCTAGTTTGGGGCCTGAAGGTATAGCTTGATGGTAGAATACATGATTAGCATGTATGATCCCAGTGCAAGAAATGGAAGGGGAGAAAAGAGGTAAGCTCAGTGGTGCAGCACCTGCCTGGCAGCCCAAGGTCCTGAGTTCAATTTCTTATTTTCCTAAGAGGACTTTGTATCCCTCCAGAAATGCTAAAAAGAGCCAGTACCTATGCTCTCACAGACGTCTCCCACTTCCTTCTCTTTTCTTTTAAAAGGTTTTTCCTCAATTTATAATTATTTATTCAGCTTCTTACACTAGTAAGACCATGAAAGGTTCACACCCATGGGCCTGATTTATTTACTTATGAGTATGGTCTCATGTTGCATCCATTTGCCTATAGAGATTATTTTGGGGATACTGGGAATTGAACTCACAACTTGAACTCATCATCTTGGGATTTCCAGGCCAACACTGTGCCACTGAGCTATATCCCCACGCCCTCCACTTACCTGTGAAAGTTTCCAGTTTGTCCTTCTTTTGGTTAAGTAGTACTCCATTATACTTAACATACATAAAGAATAGAAATAAATAAACCAGCTCTCCAAATTCAAAGACCCAACACAAAAACGGGCATCTGAGATGAATATACAGTTCTCAGATGAAGAAATACAAACAAGAAATTAATATATGAAAAACTGTTCAACATCACTGGCTATTTGAAAGATGCAATTAAAATAACACTGAGATTCCATCTTTCCCGGGTAAGAATGGCTGTCATCAAGAAATCAACTGATAACAAACACTGTCAAGGCTGTGGGGGAAAAGAAACACTTCTCCACTGTTACTAGAACATAGACTGGTGCAACCACTGTGAAAATCAGTTTGGAGGTTGCTCAAAACACTAGGTTAGAGATCCCACCTGAGCCAGCTATTTCCCTTCTATGTACCTTCCCAGAAGAGTTAAAAAACATACCACAGCACTATATGCACATCTGTGTGGATAGCAGAACCACTTATAATAGTTAAATCTTGGAAACAACCCAAATGCCTATCAACTGACACAAAATAAATCATTGTGATCATGAAGATGATCTGTTGGCTCCACTAAATGATTAGCTTTATTTCATATTTGGTTCGGAGCTCTTATAAAGAAGAGGGTGGTCATGGGGGAATGATGCCCATCAAAGAAAAGAGCTAAGCTTCCTTTGCTTTTGTGATTAAGAAAGAGCCCATCCACTCCAAGGGTGGACCTGCTTTCTCCCTGTCTTGTCACTCCACACAATCCATCATTCTCTTTGACATCTGGCTGACCTACACAGTGTCTCCTAATTTAAGTGCACTCAGTCAGCCAACTTTGTGGTCTTTCCCCTCCTCCAATACCCTCTGATCAATACTACTCAGGCAACAGGGAGCTAATTCTTCAGTATAGCTATTACTGATTAAAAGATTAGTAAGTATCAGATATCATGCCAAGCTTTTTACATAAATCTTTCAAGTTAGTGCTCAGAGCCTGTGCAATAAGTATCCATCCATCCTTGTTCTGCAAGTGAAGAAGAATCTGAGACTTAAAGAAATTAGTTTAACCTGAGACCACACAGTGGACGTAGGAGTATCTAGCACCACTGTCCGTGCTCCTAGTTAGCCAAATGCTCTTGAACGCCATTTAGGAAAAGGTTTCTATGAAAGAGCACAACAGCACGTATGACTTGGGGTCAGGGAGCTGACCCACGCACAGGCTGTATCTATTCACTAAACTCTCTGAACTTTGGTGACCTCATCTGTACTATGGCAAGCATAATTACAGATGCTTGAATGAGTTGCATAGGGATGGAGACAAGCCTTGTGCAAACACCCACAGGTGTTTGTGGAAGCAGATGGTGAAGTACCTGCGTTCACTGAAAAGCTGTGTCAGTTTCTGTTTGGCCTTTATGCTCCCTGCATCGTCAGCACAGTGCAGCAGGTGCTCAATTGCTGAAAAGATGGTGGAGAGGAAATCGTCTGGAATCTCTCGCCTTTTTTTTTTTTTAATGTCAGAGAAATGGGAAACTTGGATGAGAGGTATGGAAATGCATATATTTAGCATTTTAAAGATTGGCCTTTGTGATTTGGGTATTATTCCAACACTTTCTAGAGAAATAAAAGCAAAAGGTTAATTTCCTTAGAGACACTTTTCTAAGTCTTGTTGTCAAAGAGCCTATTATTTGCTCATAAGAAGGTTTAAATAAATGCCAGTTCTCGGGTGAGACCTAGAGTGTCATATAGGCCTAGGTTACCTGGTACCAGGAAGATTCAGAGATTAAGAACTGTGAGGGTCAGCCTGATAGCTCAGCAGACTAAAGTTCCTATTTAGGCACAGTGCAGCAGCCAGGGTTCGATCCCAGGCATGCTGTGCTGGCCCCACCCATGGGGCATGCTGAAACAGCAATTGAGACTGGGCATGGTGGCACGTACCTGTAATCCCAGCCCTTTGGAAGCTGAAGGCAAGAGAATCACTATAATTCTCATCTATGTCATGAGACTCTATAGACCCTGTAGACACTGTCCTAAATACGGAAAAAGGAAAAAAAAAGAACTGTGGAAAAAAAGAGATGACAAAGGAGAATGCTCAGGTCCACATCCCCACCTTCAGTCTTCTGCCTCCTTGTCCATTTCTCTCTTTCTCATTCATATTTTGTGTTTGTCCCACATCTCTGAATGCCACACCCACTTATCTCCAGAACCAGTGGGCAAACCCTTTGGAAAGTTCTTAGCCAGAGCTGGCTGTGAGGCTTATAGTGAGTGAAAGAGAAAGTTGGAAAAAGAGAAAAGTCGGGCTGAGAGCAAATGTCCTTCAATCATCTCTCATTCTGTCCAGGGCACCTTTTCTTAGTCAAGGTTAACTATCACTTTGCCAGCCCTGAAAATAGGATACCTTCTACAGAGGAGGCAAAAGAAAAGGAAGGGCTGTACCCACAGCTGCGGAGTTATGGAGATACAAAGAGGTCATGAGGACCCCACCCCGGAGAGCCAGGAGTCCCCTGCCTGTGATTCAGGCTAGCAGGTAAGAACGATCAAGAAGACACTGCTTGTCTAATTCTCAAAGTGACCTCAAAGGCTATCTGCTTCTTGTGCATTTCTTATATTAGAGTTTGTTCATAGCATTCCTGCTGAGACATCAACCAGCAAACGCTCAATCACCTTCAGGGTTGGGGAACTCAGCCCTCTCAAAGACTCACTTCCCAGGAAGTAAGAGCTCAAGGAAATTTTGATACAGTTGGTTCAGCAGGTGTGAAGCAGGAATTCTATTTCCTGTCACCCATCTTCCTACCTCACATAATTCTTTTCTGTGAGGAAATCATGCTCCCTTATCAAATCACCTTCACCAGGTATTTCCTTCCAGTAGCTGGGCCAGGGGAACAATCTGAGTAGGAGAACAACTGCTTCCTTTACTGCAATCTGCTAACTTGTTTATGAATATGTACTCGGTGTCTACAACTGAGCAGGCACTGTCTGGATACTTGGAGTATATCAGCAAACATAAAAGATATGTTAAAATTCCTGCCTCCAAGGAACTAACATTCTGACATGGAAAAGTGATACTAAACAATAAATCTTATGAATAAGAAACATGTTGTAATGCAGTAATGTAGCTTGTAGGTGTTATGGAAAATAACAAGAGAATAAAGAGATCAGAAGTGGCCAAGGAAGCCCATATATAAATAGGGTAGTCAGAGAAGTGCTCAAGAAGAAGATGGGCCAAACCAAACGTTTGGACCACAAATGGGTATCAGACAAAGGAGTGACCCAAGAGGAGGGGACAAGCCATAGGGTAGGAGGATCATACTTGAAGCAGGTGGACAGACAGTAAGTAGCAAGATGGAGAAAGAAGGACCAGTTCCAAGGCCACCACAAGACCCAGGTAAGAGATGAGCATGGTTTAGACCAGGTGAAGTGGTGGTGGCAGTCAGAAACTGTGGGATACTGGGAACATTTTGAAGATGCAGCACCAAGAATTTCCTGACTGATTAAATGTGAAGCACAAGAGAACAAAAAGAATCAACAAGACTCAAGACTCCACAGTAGTTAACCTGAACATTTGAAGGATGACAACTTCATGCAGAGGTGGTAAATAGCATGGGTAGAATAAATTTGGAGGAGATGATCAGAAATGTATTTTGAACTAGTTCTACTAGAGAGGAGCATTGGACATGCAAGTGGAGATATGAGTCGATGATCTACATTTAGGTATAGGAGAGAGACCTGGAGGCCTATCTGTGATCTACATTTAGGTATAGAAGAGAGACCTGGAGGCCTATCTGTCAATCACCAGGTTAAGTAAGTACAGCATGAAGTCAGCAAAAAAAAATGCACAGCAACAGAACAAGGCTTATTTTTTATTTTAAATAGAAAAGAACAATAATAGAAAAGATATTAGAAAAAATACACAATTTCAGAAAAAAAACCCCAAGATGATTGGTATTAGACAGTGGTTGCTATTTTGCACATTGCTATCTTCAATGTACTTGCCCAAACTACCAGATACAAACATGTAAAATGGGCCAAAGTAAAAATTTTAAGCATTAACTACTATCTTCACAAAACCAATAGAAATTAGTAGTACAATTATCTTAGCTGTCCTGTTCACAAGAGAACTGAATTCTGCCCATGCTGCAGAGGAGAACACATACATGATTTCTCCCTCTTTTTTCCTTTCCCTCATCTCAATTGTTCATTCCTTTTGAGTAGTATCATTCTCTTTTACTATATCTATTGCACTGGTCGTATTTTATTTACTCTTTCAGGTTCTTATACTAGGGAGACAACATGATGTTTACACATGTGGGTCTGATTTATTTCACTTATGAGTATAGCTCTAGGTGCATCTATTTACCTATGAAATCCTTAAGTTCATCTTTCTTTATAGCTGAGTAATGCTCATATAAAAATGCCACATCTTTTGATTCATTCCTTAGTTGATAGACATTTGGGTTGTTTCTAAGATTTAGCTATTACAAATTGTGCTGCTATAAACATGGGTACACATATATTGCTGTGGTTTGATCTTTTCAGTTCTTCTGGGAAAATACCCAGAAGGGGGGAAATATTTGGGTAGAATAGGACTTTTTTTCTGTATTTTAGGGAAGGGTGTTCAAGGTTTCACTACTAGATGGGTCTCATGGTGATTCTTCTGTTTACAGCCTCCCAAGTACTGGGATTACAGATGTGCAGAACCATTCCCGGTCTCAGTTGCCATCTCAGGGCACCCTGTGGGCTG